GTCAAAGAATATTAAATTTCCAATTAGGGAGCTCTCCAATGCAGATATGTTCAATCCTGCTTGACACAGTTAAGTCAGCACAGAGGATTGAGAAAGAAACAGGACATTTGACTGTTACTTTTCCTCTGTGTCTGGTTACTGATCTTAGCAGCCAACATGTGCTTATGGGAAAGGTCAATCTGTCTCTTACTAATGGCATTCTCTCTACTATGGTAGGGCCTAGTCTTTTCCAATGTCCATATAGTTAAGTTTTTTATCTTAAGAATAAATTATTTTTATCATTTTATAAAGTCAATTATGGGTATCATTTTTTAAAATTTCGTTTTCTTTAAATTCATTGCTACTCTATTTTCTAGCTGTTTCTGTTCTCTAATGTTTCTCAATCATTGATACTATCATTACTTTTTTTTTTCTCAAATGTTGTTGATTATTTATATCTGTGTGGTGTTTCCTGTAGCTTAGGTTGCCTTGTGATATGTAATTGAGAATTGCTTTGAATGCCTAATCCTACCTCTGCTGCCCAGTGCTGGGAAGACAGTCCCGCAATTCCTTCCAGGCTGGTCCTTGACAAGTTAATGAGTGTCCTCCAACCTTTCTGGCTTTTATTGGGGACAAATAAGAGAAGAAGGACCTTTGCAAAAATTGAGTTCATTGAACAACTCTGAATTTGGTGTAGTGTGACAGTGCAGAAATGGAGGGGCAGAAAGGAGGATGAAAGAATGCTTTACTGCTGGTCCTTGACTAGTGAGTGAGAAGGAAAATTAGATCAGTTTATGAGTGTCCTCCAATATTTCTGGCTTTTATTGGGCACTTACAAATGAAGAGGGACCTGTGCAAGGACTGAGTTCACTGACCAACTTTGAAGCTGGTGCAGTGACAGTGCAGACAGGGAGAGGCAGGCAGGAAGGTGAGTGTGGGAGTCCCCAGAGGTTTCCTAGTAAGATCTGAGCTTGCTTTACACAGCAGGGCTGCATTAGGGGCATGGCTTTACTAGGTGTTTGGAAGGGTCTGCATTTGGCTGTACTAGGAGGAGGTCTTTTGCTCTACCCCTTTGCATTTCTATAAATAGTCCTTTAGCAGAGACAGAAGGGGCTGGTGGGTTTTGACCCAGGCCCACCCAAGGCTATTCTATGTTTTTATCTGTCTTTCTCCCTTCTATATTTCTATCTAAATACTTCCCACTTCTCTCTGCTCAAGAGTAACCTGGGGGAAAAAGTGGGAGTGGGTCCCCCACAGGTGACGGCTTTCTTGATTTGACAGCAATTGAGATTAGCAATGTAGAGTCAGGTAATCAATTTTAGGTGATCCATAAATGTCCTGACTGGTCATGTGTTGGGAACCACAGACCAGGACAATAAAAAAAATCTGGATAAAGGACTGACCTTATTGTGAAACCAAACTACTGCAGTTATGCTAGTTCAACCAAAATTGAAGATTGTAGTCCTGCCTAGCCAGACAGTGATTTTTCTGGTTTAAGATGTCCAGCCTGAGAGAAAAGGTTTGAGTAATCCTTGGTGTGCTCTCATACAAATCTCTAGTCTTTGGGGCACATGGCCATAAACCCTGTTTCAAGTTTTCAAAATAATTCTTTGAGATTATAGCTATGTAGTATCCACAGTCTCTTTCCTGCCTGGAAGCCCTTTCTTGATCCCTCATTGTTTTCTAATCCATGGCCTCTTTTTGCTTTAACAACAGTTACTGTTTGATGTGACCTATGTTTGGCTGCAGGACTTCCCAGCTGTGAGGCAACAGGTTGGCTGCACTGGACATTGAGTGTGTAATGGGATGTTCACCCAAAGACCCTGTTCCTTGGAAGAGGAACAGAAAGTGCTCTGGGAGACTGGAACAATTTCTACTAAAATAAAAATTACCCAGATTAGGGCCTTGTCTGCCCCTAGCATGGAAGGGCAGAGCTGGGAAGGCCTGTGCTTGCTGTGTCATTTGATCATCCAGTAGGGGAGCTGCTAATGTTCTGAGGCCCAGCCAGGTGAGGTTACCTAATGTAGAATTCTGGAAAGGCTTAGCAATGAGGATTAGCAGTAGGATGGAGCTTGCAGGTTCTTTCTAGAATCTCCTCTGGTTCTGCTGTAGGGAGCTGTGAAGGAGACCACAAGCCATGTCATGGTGAATGTGGGGACCACTGACCCTAGACCAGAAGGAGCACTTTTGCTGAGCTGTCATTTCTGCTGGGACTGGGATGTACCATGAGCCATACTGTGGTTCTCTTGGTCCATTTAGTGACCTGGGCAGTGACCCTTTTCTCCTGAGCCTCCCCAGATGTGAATTTCCTAGGGAGGAGGGGACTTTGTCATCCTGGATATGGAAGAGCATAATGCTTGTAATATATGTGTCCAGTGTGCACTCACAGGCATTTATTTTGGTATGCAATGGGAAGACAGATCGGAAAATTGAAGGTCTCATTTCTAGAAGTTCTGAACATTTCTTTCCACTTCATGTTTGTCTTATAAATGTTACAAACAGTTTAGAAACTGGTAGAAAGGAAGTGATGGGATCATCTTTCAGAAATATGTGATTAGAATGTTTTTAAATTTCTGATATAAGGTTGACCTGATTCAGGGAAGTTTAGTTCCAGGGGAGAAAAGAAGTTTCTGAGATATTTCAGGTGTGTATGGTGTTTGGCAGGTAGATAGGGCAGATTCTACATCTTGTCCCATAAACCATGTAGTAGAAAATAAATGTTAAGTTATTCATCTACATTGTTTTATTTGTGGGCATCAGTGGGGCTGTTTGCCTCCAACTACAACCAGATATGAGTTTGCAGAGCCATAGGAGGAGATCATCTCCATTTTCAACAAGAGCTCTAGAGCATGGGGCCTCTCTGTTTGGAAGAAATATCAGTAGCTAGAGGGTCAGAAACAATAGTTTAAGGGTCACTTTGAAAAACAAAGTAATGTCTATTCACAGAGGGATAGAAAGCCATTGAATCCTTTCACAACCATCTAGAGGGGACTTTCATCACCTTCAAGTGATAGGAGACAGAAGGAGTAATCTGGTATCTTCATCTACATTTTAATGTCATATTTTGGATCTGGAGAGTTTACTGAATACTCATGCTCCTCTTGGATACTCAAGTTTGGTTCCTCCACATCAGATGACTCAGAACTACTTGTATTTCTAGGTCCAGGAGGAATGATGCATTCTTCTGGCCTCCTAGAGTATCAGATATACAAATGGTGAAATATATATATATATGTGTGTGTGTATATATATATATATATATATATATATATATATATATATATATATATATATATATA